CGACAGCGGAAGCATACACACAAAAATAGAGAAACAAAAACAAACTCATTTTATTTCTCTCCACTTACAATTTTTACAAGGACAAAATTGCAAACCCTCTCATCACAAATTTTCTGGAAAAACTTGGAAACCTTCATACACAAGTTTTCTGGCAAAACTTGGAAACCCTCTCATGACACACAACTACCCAAGTCCCCAATACACCCATTGGAACCTATGTTGTTGTGGTGAGTAGACACTAACTATCACCTCTTATTTATAGTAGTAGTCTACCACTCCCTTCTTCAAACTTCATGATGTGGGACTTTGGAGGATACCCACACACTTTGGGCACAACATTCCTCCCTTCAAAACTACCCAATGTAGGACTTTGGAGGATACCCACACACTTTGGGCACAACACATTTTACATGCTATGTGACATTTAAATTAAATAAATAAGACTTTTGTACTTGGGAGTGTCCAAGGGATACACAACATGTAAAATACTACTGGACTTAAATATACTTCAATAATTAAAAATTAACTCAAACAATGAAAAATACGAATATGATAAAATATTAACATTCAAAATCAATATTAATTCCCATGAGAGTGGTAAAATCGAGACATATAATGAAAATTAATGTAGAAAACATATATGGGTAATCATAGATTTTTTTTTTTTTTTTATCTAAACCCTAGCATGCGTATTCACAAACACTATTAGAATCCCAACATTACAAGATTAACATCTATCCAATGTTATAAATGTAAAGTACAAGGATCATTAAGAAGGGGTTGAATTAGCTTTTAAAAATTTTAAAAGCACAATAAAATTGATTTACCTCTTTTTAATGAATTCAAAAAATATTACTTGAAATCTTTATTTTTGAAAAATAATTTCTTATCTTTAAAAAATGTTATTTCATAAGTAAATACATAGATCAAATATGTTTTAGAGTAAAGAAAGTATACAAGATTTTCAAGAATGCACTTCAATATTAAAGATTAAAGCAAGATAATAAGGGTAAGGAGAAAGAGATTCATGCAACAATCTATATTGGTTTACTTTCATATAAAGTTAAACCTTTAAAGAGAGAACACTATTGACATATCATGTGAAAAACCAAACCAAAACATCATGACATCAATTCCATCTTCCTTTTCTTTTACTCACAACAACAACCACAAGAAACATAATTAAAAATTTGGTTATACAATTAGGGGAGTGAGTAATCGAGCAAAGATGAATTCAATCATATCAATAAATACAAGAAGGAGAATAAAGCAAAGAGTTGCACTTACTTGAAATTGCTTAAGAGACATCATAAAATATGCAATTTTGTTTTCTCCTTACTCTCTATGTCATAATTAATTAGGCATCATGTGTGTTCATGTGCCTATTAGCCTATTTTTATCATACCCTAAATGGATCATTTCCTTGATGAGCATTTCTCTTATCAATAAATACAAGAAAGAGAATAATGAAAAGAGTTACAGTTACTTAAAATTGCTCGAGAGTCGTCCTATAATATGTAATTTTGTTTTCTCCTTACTCTAGGTCATAATGAGGCATCTTATGTGTTTATGTGTTTATTACTCTATTATTATCATACCTTAAATGAATCATTTCTCTGACGAATCATTCTCTTATGTTATTAAAGTCTATTTTAGTAAGATGTTATGCTAATTACTTAAAAAATTATTGAGTGGAAATGCATGAATTGACCTTTTCAAAAGATGTATACTTGAGAATTCTAGGAGATGAAAGTCCAAAACTATATGTTGTTTAAATTGCATATTTTAAGTCATTTATTTGATAAAAGTAAGCAAAGTTACCCAAAAAAAAGTCCTAAATTTTAGCGAATTTGGGCACAAATTTGATGCACATTTGAACATTTAGTTATGAGAAAAATAAATTTACTCGCCAGTGGCAATTTATTGCATAAAGTTCCTATTTAAGCATCACTAATTGCTAATATTTCTATAAAAAAAATGACGAGAATTGATAGCTAATAGACTATAGCACTTGTAGCTAAAAGGTTGATAATGATTTGAGGTCAAACTAGTAAATTATGACTCATTTATTTTAGGCTTTGACATACGAGTTTTATAAATAGTTTCATGGAGAAGATTGTGAAGTTTTATAATGCTTTAATTGATTAGAAAGATGAATACACTGGTATGTATGACACTTTTCATGAGGAATAAAAACAAATTTTTAAGTTGGTTTTAGACTTGTGATAATTTTTTTGCAATATAGAAAGTTTTGACTAACTTTTTATATCGATTATAAAATAATTGATATAAAAGTCATATTTTTAAAGTTAACAAATGCTTCTATTATTATATTATTTCTTTTTCACTATCTCACTTTTTTTGTTTCACCGTCACACTCTT